AGTCTGTTGCAGGGAGAGGTTAAAAATCCTTGTCAGGACCCCAGGACTAGAAGATCTCTATGGTCCCTCCCACCTCTATTCTGATTGAATTGCCTTGGCCGCCCAACCCTCCACTCTCTTCCCATCTGGGCCACGTGCCCCCCCCCCCCCCGCCTTCCCCAGTTTGCTACAGGGAAGGAGAGAGAATCCTGCCTGGAATCTCTTACCTGGAGCGAGCAGGGAAGAAGCAGAACCCGCGATCGGCCGGGAAACACCCGTATTCAAGTTTGCAATCCCGCCCGGCAGGATTCTGGATCTCGGGGAAAGATCTGGGGGAGAATTTGGGCTCAGCTCCCGCTCAAATCGCTCTCTGCGAGCGCGTCTCCTGCTTTATTAAGCCGCTCAGCTGTAGCCCGGCGGGGAGATCTCCGTTCCCACGAGGATTTGCACACACACACACACACACACACAGACCAGCTTCTTTGCTCTCCGCTGGCTAGAGTTAAAAGCAGAGAGAGCCGCTTCCTAGAAAGTCCCTGGGGTGGAAGGTGGGTGGACGGTCACTTCCTGCCTCCCCCCCCCCACACTTTTGAAGGTCTTGGCCAGATGCTTCCCCAGAGCGCAATTCTTTGTTCGGCTTTGCCTTAACTGGGAAACAAGGATGCAGTTGTTGGATGCCGAAGTCTGCAGGAGGGCGCCATCTAGTGAAGGCCGTTTCCTACAAGCCCACAAGAATCTTGGTGGAGAAGTGCCCTCTTGGTGCCCAGAGGTGCTTGGCTGAGGGCCAGAAATTAACAGAATAACCAAGTAAAATGGAATGGGATAGGATTAGAACAGGACAGAATAGACATAGAATGGAATAGAATAGAATGCAGAATAGACTAGGAGTTGGAAGGGACCTTGAAGGTCTTCTAGTCCAACCCCCTACTTAGGCAGGAAACCCTAAACCATTTCAGACAAATGGTTGTTCAATCTCTTCTTAAAAACTTCCAGTGTTCTGGAGGGAAGTTGTTCCACTGGTTGATTGTTCTATCTGTCAGGAAATTTCTCCTTAGGTCTCAGTTGCTTCTCTCCTTGATCAGTTTCCACCCATTGCTTCTTGTCCTGCCCTCAGGTGCTTTGGAGAATAGCTTGCTTCCCTCTTCTTTGTGGCAGCCCCTCAAATATTGGAACACTGACTATCATATCATCCCTAGTCCTTCTTTTCATTAAACATATTGTGGGGAAATGCTTGAATATTAATATTTTGTCTATTTATGTTGATTAAATAATAAAGAGAAAAAAAGGCATGGATTTTCCCAGAAGAAAGAACTTTATGAGACAATTTGAGGTCCCAGAAAATTATATTTTAGCCTCCAGTCTCCTAATCGTCTTTGTTGCTCTTCTCTGCCCTCTTTCTAGAACAGTGATGGCGAACCTTTTTTGGCTCATGTGCCAAAAGTGCATGGGGGGTCATGCGTGGGTGTAACTCACCCATAATCCTGTGCGCACAACCCCAGTGCGCATGTGTGCATGACCAGTGCTCCCCCCAATTTTTGGCATGCTTTTTTCGCTCTCCCCAGGCTTTATAGGAGCCTGGGGAGAGTGAAAATAACCTCCCCCCCCAGAGGCCCTCCGGAGGCTTCAGGAGCTTCCCTGAAGCCTCCAGAACGCAAAAAACCGGCCCTAGGGGCAAAGCGGAAGTTCAGGAATGTACTAAATGTACTAAAACTGGGCCTACGAGCAAACCGGAAATATGTTCCCGAACTTCTGGTTTGCCCATAGGGCTGGTTTTTTTGCACTCGAGGCTTGCCTCCAGAGGGTGAAAAATGGCCTCAAAAGAAGGCCAAAGTCAGCTGGCCAGCACACGCATATAGAGCCCTACACCATGTATAGATTCTTTCGTCATATCTTTTAGAGAAAACAGTTCCTAAGCAGTCTGTCCGAGTTAGATTTTAAACACTGTGAATACATAACAATCATTTAAAGAGTTTTATAGAAAAATCAATCTGTAATACACAAGCAAGAACAAATAACTACAAATGAAACAATATAAAACATAAAGATAAATTGATCTCAGCAATTATTGATTGTATTCATATTTTTTCTTAGCAACCTGGAAATCCTTCTGCTGATAACTCTAGAATTTCTTCCAGGCCCACCAAAAATTAATAACCAGGATGGAATCTGTTTAGTTTCAAAGAACACTCAAAGTTCACTAATTGCTAATTAAGTAGTAATAAGTAACACCTTTACAAATACAATCAATAATATTCATTGTTAATATTTGTAGCAAAACTCAACCATCATTCCATCAAATCCACCAAGTTGTTATTTTTAATTCTTTAGGACACTTCATTTAATTTTGAGAAAGATAAATAAAATGAAATTAAAATTAAACTGTTTGGATCCATTCAGTTTCTAAAGTCAACAATCTGCCTCACTATCGAAGATTAGATGTAGTCCAAGGTGTCAGAAATTAGTAGATGTTTGTAGTATGCAGTCTCCTCCTTTTTTGTTTTGTTTTTGAGGTATGTAAAATTAAAGTTCATCCGAAGCACTTTCCATACTTTAGAAATTCTTTTCTATGTGGTTTCATTTATGGGAAATCAGGTTACTACAATGGACAAAGTTTTATTCAGTCTCCATAACTTGTGTGGTTTCTTCCCTTTCTGCTTTTATTTTCATATATATATAGATTGTCCTGGACTTATGACCACCATCAGGATCAGAATTTCCATGGCTAAGCAAAGCGGTTAAGTGAGTCCAGTTATGTCCAGTTTTACAACTTTTGCCAGTTATTAAGTGAATCAGTGCAGTTGTTGAATGAATCATATCATCATTAATCCCGATTCTACCATTGATTTTGCTCGTCAGAAGCCAGCTGGGAAGGTCACAAATAGTAATCACATGACTCCAGAACACTGCAACTATCATAAATACATACCAGTTGCCTACCCCCCAATTTTGATCACGTGATTATGCAGATATTGTAATAGTTACAAGTGCGAGGTCTGGTTTTGTCAATTTTTTCAGTACTGTGGTATTTTGGACAGTCGCTAAACAAATTGTTGTAAATTGAGGACTGCCCGTAAAATAATCTGTTAATACTGAAGTACTTTCCACATTAACTGCATTTATATGGGTTCTCCCCACTGTGGCATTAATAATACTCTTCTGAAGCCACATTCCAGACATTTAAAAGATCTCTCTCCTGTATGAACCTTTTTATGGGAAGTTGAGAAATGTCACTGAGAGGCATGGTAGCCTGGAGGTGAAGTCGCTCAGCTCCCACTCAGAAGGTTGAGTTCAATCCTAGGTAGCGGCAGATGTTTCTCTAGCAGGTTGCAAAGATGTGAACTCCATGTAGGTGTCAGGAAGGGCATCCAGCAAAGTTAAACACTCAGTCTATTGAATTGTTTTGACTCCACCCCGAAAAAAGGGATAACAGGTTTATTTTTTTTTTAAAGGATGTTTTCACTGAATTTTCCCTCCATATTTAGTGAATTTATACAGCATTTCCTTTGTATGAATTCTTTGTGGTGATTAATATCCAAATCTCGGGACATTCGACTGCAGAAAATCCACCTATGTGGTTGCTATAAGCTGACACACTTCACTGCTTATAGTTAGTTTCCTTTATTAATGATTACAATTTAAAAATATTCTCCTTTATTAATAATTAGTCAACATAATCAATGGAAAGCTCATCCCCATGCTGTCTGCATTCAAATGGCTTTTCTAATCTTTCACGTGAAGTAAGGTATCTGCTGTTATGGAAGCTTTTACCACACCTCGTAGATTTGTATGAAACTTCTTTTCTATGTGTTCTGTCATGTCGAGTTAGATCAGCAATTCGCTTGAAGCTCTTTCCGCATTTCATGCATATATACGGTCTTTCCCCTGTATGGATCTTTTTATGAAATTTAAGAGAACTCTTCGTACTAAAGCTCTTTCCACATTCCATACACTGAAATGGTTTCTCTCCTGTGTGGATCCTTTTATGGGAAGTAAGGTGACTACTCAGGGTGAAGTTCTTGCCACATTCTGTGCATTTGTAAGGTTTCTCCCCTGTGTGGATCCTTTTATGCACAAGAAGGGAACTGGAATCAGCAAAGCTCTTTCCACATTCCGTGCATTTGTAAGGTTTCTCTCCTGAGTGAAGCCTTTTATGATAAGTAAGATGACTATTTTGAGTAAAGCTCTTTCCACATTGCAAGCATTTATAAGGCTTCTCCCCTGTGTGGATCCTTTTATGGGAAGTAAGATGACTACTCTGAGTAAAGCTCTTACCACATTCCATGCATTTAAATGGCTTCTCTCCTGTGTGGATTCTTTCGTGTGCAATAATTTTGCTGTACTTGCTGAAGCTTTTCCTACATACTTTGCATTTAAATGGTTTCTTTCCCATATAATCTTGTTGATGCAAAGTAAAAGAGTAAAACCTCCTGTACTTTTTCCCATCATCTTTCCATTCACATTGTTTATTTAAATCTGATTGATCTTCAAATATTTTCTGAAAATCTAAACATTGTCGCCTTCTCTCTGTTTTAATATCTTTTGGGGTCTGGAAGTCACAGATTTTAGGACATGAATTAGCATTTTTATGCCTCTGAATGTTTACTTGAATTCCCTCTTGATTTTTTGAGGGACAATGATTTTGAAATGTCTCTTCTTCCACTTCAATTTTGACGATTCGCAATGGCTCTATTTCTGTTTCCTGTTTGTTCTTCCGCTCGTTACCTATTTGGGAGAAAAATAATGAACCAAGACAGAATATTCCAAATTATCATTACATTGTATAAAGAAGTACAGTGGTACCTTGGTACTCATCATTAATTGGTTCCAGGAAGCGCGATGAGTACAAAAAACGAGTACCAAACAATTTTTCCCCATAAGGAATAATGTAGTGAGTCACTAGACAGCCATTACTGACAAGTTCTAGCTGGTGTATTGAGTATCAAGCAAATGATAATTACCACAATAAATGTTTTGTATCAAAATGGGTTGAGTGCCAAATTCAATGAGTTTCAAACAGAGGTGGTATTCAGCAGTTCTGACCAGTTCTGGAGAACCAGTAGCAGAAATTTTGAGTAGTTTGGAGAACTGCTAAATACCAACTCTGACTGGCCCGGCCCCCATCTATTCTCTGCCTCCCAAGTCCTGCCCCATATTGGGAGGAAATGGGGATTTTCCTCCCGATGGAGTGGGGTGGGAATTGAGATTCTACAGTATCCTTCCCCTGCCATGCCCACAGAACCGATAGTAGAAAATTTTGAATCCCACCACTGGTTTCAAACCAGTTGAACACCAAAATACTACTGTACTTCTTTCTAGCACTTAATATTTTAGGGACATGTTCATGGCCTTATAAATTGCAACAAAACCCTTGAATTGCACCTAGAAAGGAACTGGTATCAAATGCAGCTTCTTAGCATAGTTATTATAATGCAGTAGCATGTTTGAACCTAAGGCTTTTGGTTAGTCTTCAAGGACAGCTGCATGTAGAGTGAGTTGTAGTACTCTAGTTAAGAAATGACAATAGTCTGAGCAACTATTCACATTTCTACTAAATAAGGATTCTACTTATTTCCAGTCACAGCTGCTGAAGCTGGGCAAATACCTACATGCCGCATGACCACCATCCATTATCACTACTGTCAAATTGCAGGCCAGTCTATTATTTTGTGGAGCACAGTCCCACCCGCAATCAAAATGTGAATTATTGTAGAAGTATCTATGGAGATTCTCAATCATCCAGGTCATGGTTGTCCCAAAGGTGCTTTTCCAAAAGGCAACTAGATTTTCTTGTTTGTTTCCCCTTGAAAATGATGTGCTTCTCATCCAAGAAGCATTTTCAGAACTGAAATGGTTTCTTGGATGAGAAACAAAACATTTTCAAGAAAATATCAAGGAAGTCCAATTGCCTTTTGGAAAAGCACCTTTGGGACAATCATTCTAGAACTTGCTAATTTCTAAATTGGCACAATTCTATTGTTCTTGAGTTGAATGTGCTCCTGTTTTAGTCCACTCAGATTCTGGCGGCTTTCAGACAGCGATTCAAGAACCCTGCAATTATTACCTTCTGTCCAGCCCTATATGCAACACGTATATCTGGGTATTATGTGTGTTACAAAATGTGGAAATGATCTAATTGAAATTGAAGCAAGTGCGAAAAAGGAATGCAAAATAACTCTGCCTTAACTTTGTTTAGTAGGAGAGAGCCCAAAGATAAAATTTCAAGTTTCTGTTACTATATTGCACAATAAAGCAGAACTTGTGAAATTCCCACAGGATCTGTTTCTCGGCCTGCCAGGAAGTTCAGAGAACTACAAATAAATGGATTCCATCCAACTACAAAATACTCAATCCAACTGTTTGAACAGGGAGCAAGGAGGATCTTACTCAGAAAAGCCACATTCCTACAAGTCTCCAACATGATTTCTTCGTGGAGAGCTTTCTGATCAGGGTGTAGCAGAGCCCACTCCTCCTTGGTGAAATAAATGACCACCTCTTTGAAGGCTATGGAATCCTGAAAGAGGAATAAAGAAATTATTTATTAAGAGACAGACTGAGAAGGCTTTCAAGATCTCTTTGAAATCCCCAGAGCAGAAACTTGCAATAAAATAAACAAATATTTTTTCTGGCAATTTTCAGAATTAAGGAAATAAATGGATATCGCTCACATCCACTAGCTGAAATTACATTGGAGATAACGGCTGATTAACTGTACCAAGGCTGATTAATGTTTCATAGGATTTGATCTACTGAATGCATGGATAAAGCATCATTCCAGATCTTCCCCATCCTGAGCTCTTTCTTGTGTCCACCAGAGCTGCTCCATTCCAGAAAGTGGTTGGCAACTGATCAAGTGAAGCTTATTCATACAGTGGCCTTGATCAGGAAAAGGACTGATTCTAGATTATAAATACAGTTTTAGCAGTAGAAGGGATGCCTTTTAACTAAATCACATATGCAATTCTGAGGATGGGAAATTTTTTCTTCCTACCTGAACTGGAAGGACAGCCCCTGTTTCCACTCCACCAGAAAGAGAAGCTTGATTTCCCAATGGGAGAGGACTCATTGTTTTGTTCTCTGTGGGGAAGACAAAGATTTAAAAAAATTGATCTTTTTAAAGCATTCTTAACACAGCATATACTGGGGAAAGCTAAATAATTTGTGTCAAGTGGGGCAAAATTTGGTTGCGAAAGAAGCTCATGAATTAAAGCACAGGTAGTCCTTGACTTACGACCACAAAATTTCCATTACTAAGCAAGAGCTGTTAAGTGAATTTTGTCCCATTTTATTACTTTTCCTGCCACAGTTGTTAAGTGAATCATTGAAGTGGTTAAGTTAGTATCACAGTTGTTAAGTGTATATGGTTTCCTCACTGACTTTGTTTGTCAGAAGTCGCAAAAGGTGATCACAGGACTCGAGGACATTGCAACCATCATAAAAATGAACTAGTTGCTAGGCATCTGAATTGAAATCACGAGATTGCTGCAATGGTTATAAGTATGAAAAACAGTCACTTTTTTCATTGTAACTTCAAACAATCACCAAATGAATGATTGTAAGTTGAGGATTACCTGTAGTTCAGAGAGCTCTTGATGGCTTTTTGCCATTACAACAATCTTTTCTTACCTGGTGATCTGTCCTGAACTGGATCCTTTTGGGAGATGTCTCCTAAGAATGGATTCCTAGAAGGTTCGAATGAATTTTCTCTTGCTTCAGAGCATTCAGTGACCAAATTAACACAGGATGTCTTCACTTGCAACTGTATATATCATAAGGGAATGGATTTAACATAAATTGGACAAAATGTATTTCCAAATTTCCATCCCACCTCCTCTATTGCTCCACGTTCATCTGTGGGGAAAAAGCTTGGGTTCCTCCCAACTCCTGGGACATTTTCAGAAAAGGCAACAAACACTTTAAGAAGTTATACTCCTTCCTTATACATACAATTAATAACAGAAAGGACTGAGAAGCTTTTAAGTTCCCATCTAGTTTTAGTAATAAGATCCCTCCATTTCAAGGTTGGCCTGAGTTAAGACTATTATATGGCCAGCTGTAAAATGGACTGCATAAACTTTGATATATTTATTATCACTCCCTCAGAACCAATCAGACCTTCATCTCTTCCTGCTTCTTCTCCTCCACTTGGCTCAGAAGAAAGCTTTCGGCCAGAGCCACTGCCTGAGAACTGGTCTCCACTCCACATTCCTTGACCCAGTTCTTGATCTCTGGCGGCAGGATGGCGAGGAGTTGCTCCAGGATCACCATGTCCAGTATCCGAGACTTTGAATTTCTCTCTGGCTGCAGCCACTGGGAACAAAGATAATGAAGGTGGCTGCATATTTCTCGGGGGCCCTTAGTCTCCTGGTAACAGAACTCTCTAAACATTTGTCGCTGGATGTCAGTGCAGATTTTTTCTTCATCTGGGATCTTCTGCTTACATGTTTCCCAAATGTTTAGATAGGTGTCCTTTGGAAGGAGAGGGCGTACTGCTATTCTCTCACATTCTGATTTTTTTCTATCCATTTTCCATCTATGCTCAATCGAAATTCCCAATGGGTAAAAGGTCTCCAAACCTTCTTCCATCTATAAAATCAGAACGTCTGAAAAGAATCCAAACAGACCACTGAGCCCTCTTCGGTGACAAGTTTTGTTTCTATGGAAACAGGAAGTTTGAAGATAAAACAGCATACATTCAGCTCCCAATCTGTGATCAAAAAATTTAAAAAAGAATATTAATATATGACAGAATTGTCTTAACCCCGACAATTTTCAATTTTTAAAAAAATAATGTTCAACCAGAGTTAATGCTTGGGGAGAACATTTGCAATCAAAGGGATTTTCAGATGGGAGACTGGGCTCTATTTCTCCTAAATGGAATTCTCTCATTGCAAGCAAATCTTTGCTTTGAGAGTCCTTGAGAGTACAAGATAATTTTATCAGCCAGAAAGCCAAAAAAGATTGGATGATCATTTGTCTTAAATGGTATAGGATTTCTTGCTTGAGCAGGGAGTTGTATTAGAAGACCTTTAAGGTCCCTTCCAACTCTGTAATCCTGTTATTCTCTTGTCAGGATTCTACACTGATCTTCGAAAGGCTTTTCTTGGTTAATTTTTTTATCTTTTACAGTACAGTATTCCAGCCACTATAGCAGCTCTACACCTGAAATCAAACGCAGGATGAAGGGACCAAAGTTGTCTTTTAAAAAGTAATTAAAAGCAGACTTTTCACATACTTTAAAAAAATATCTATACTTTGTTAATAAACCCATAGAATTTGTTTAAACTTTCTGAGAACAATTGAAACCTTTTGATATATAAATTTAGCTTTCACTTCTGCAGATTCTGTAGATAATGCATGCTTTTGCTCGGGACTGCCCTCTCTCCTGAGATCCTACAAAATGCCCGTTTCCCTTGAAAGGGGAAGCCGAGGCTGCAACCTTCAGGAACATATAAGCACCCAGCCAGCCCCTGGGGAAGCACTATGAGGGAAGCACAACCCACCCGTTTTGCCAGCCCCTGCGATCTAGGCTGGAAACGGCATTCCAACCGCGGAACTCAACCGCATCAGGACATCCGCTTCTTGTGAAGCAACACAGATACTGTCGCAGAGCGTCAAGAAGGCGCTTCCAGCCTCGCAAAATCTCCGTCCCTGGAAGGCATTCAGTCTTTGCTTCCCGGAAGTGTCAGTGGAGGATGGCTTTTTCCTAGAGAGGCCAGACCCTCCACTTCCTGTTCTGCTCAAAACTCCAGCCTTGCATGTAGAGAGAAATCTGTCGGATCGAAGGATCGTTCCCAAACACGCAACCGGACTGAATGCGACTCCCTCCGGATGGAAAACGAAAGTTGCCTCCGTACCACTGCAGAAAAAGCAGGGGAGCGTTTGGACGAGAAAGCACGGGAAAAGGGGGAAGCCAGGCGAAACCCAAAGATCCGGGATCCCAACAGTTGGCAGAGTATTTCCCCCCCTCCCCAATTTGATCCATTATTGTTCGTAAAGGTTTGGGTTGAATATTCCATGTTTTCTTTGCATGAGGCACATGAAAAGAAGTCGAGGACTACTTCTTTTGCTGAGTGGGAAGATGCAGACGCCCCCAAACACAGGTAGTCCTCAACTTACAACAGTTCATTTAGTGACCGTTCAAAGTTACAACGGCACTGAAAAAATGACTAATTTTCAGTTACCATTCCAGCAGTCATGTGATCAAGATTCCTAGAGTCATGTAATCACCTTTTGTGACTGTGACAAGCAAAGTCAATGGGGAAGCCAGATTCACTTAACAACTGGATTGCTAACTTATCAACTGAGGCAAGACAGGTGGTAAAAGGGAGGAAAATTCACTTAACAAATGCCTCACTTAACAACATAAATTTGAAGTTCAATTGTGGTTGCAAGTCGAGGACTACCTGTAGAAGCCATTCTTCTGAGCTCTATTTTTTTTTTTTTTTGAAAAATAGCTTTGGGGGTGGTTTTCTTTATCTTTTCAACCTTCACATAAATCTATTTTTCCATAGTTTGGGCAGAAGATGAGCTTCAAAGAGTTCTGTGCAGAAAGGAAGAGCTGGGAATGCCATTTGGGATGGGGATACAGCTGCCCAATCTCCACTCATCATTCACAGATGAATAGAATAGGAATAGAATAGAATAACAGAGTTGGAAGGGACCTTGGAGGTTTTCTGGTCCAATCCCCTGCTCAGCAGGAGACCTTCTCCCATTTCAGACAAATGGTTGTCCAGTGTCTTCTTAAAAAATCCCAGTGTTGGAGAACTCACAATTACTAGAGGCAAATTGTTCCCCTACTTAATTATTCTCTGTCAGGAAATTTCTCCTTAGTTCTAGGTTGCTTCTCTCCTTGATTAGTTTCCATCAGTTACTTCTTGTCCTGCTTTCAGGTGCTTTGGAGAATAGGTTGAACCCCTCTTTTTTGTGATAGGAAATTTAATTGCTTCTTTTTATATCTTTTCAGGAGGAAGGACTCCCCAAGGGTAAAGCAGAGTTACCTCAAAACCTGTGGCCCTTTTCTCCCCTCAGCATTGTCAGTGATACATCTTCTGACAATCTTTGCCTCTCAAACCCCTTCAGGATTCCTGTTTCTTCCGAGGGGGTGTGAGTTCTCCTTCCTGCCCCCCAACTTCTAGCGTCACCCTTCGAATGAAGCTTCGGATCCTACCCGCCTCCCCTCCGTCTCCTTTGAGCGGGTGGAAAGCCGCTCGGTCTGAGGGAACTGCGGGAAGCCCAGGTCCCTCAGCCAAAAGTAGAAATGAGCCAGGATGAAAAAACTAAGGGGAAAAACTCCCAATAATTGGGGAGGAGGTGGTGGAAACGGACGGACGGACGACTCCAGCAGCCTAACAACCGCAGACCTCTCTGTCGCGCCTCCCTCACGGACGGAATCCGCCGCTCGATCTGAGGGAAGCGCAGACACCGCGTCAAAAAACAACTTCGCGTGAGCAACGGACAGTAGTCTCCACAGCAACCGCAGCCGCCTTCAACCACGCTGCTCTCCCATTGGCCAACGTTCTTCCCCACGGGCCAATCGCGGCGCCGCCGCGGAAGGCACGCGCCTTCGCGAAGAAGTGGTCCGCCGACCGATCGTGGGGCTGGCCGGGTCGGCTGCCTCTCCTTGGTGTGGGCGGAGCCGGAAGCAGGAGCTCCTCTCTCAGAGCTTTTGAGCGGGCGACTGCCGCTGGTGGGTGCGGGGTGCGCAGTTGCGAGTGGAGGGAAGGTCGGATTTCTGAGGGGAAATCCCTTGACCTGGCTGCCTCTCCCTGTCTGCTATCTCACACGCGTGAATTTGGAGTGACTCCGGCTTGTGACCCTTGCCTACTGGAGTCGCTTCAGGGCCTCCCACTGCAGATCCAGGGAGCGAGCTGCAAGGCTGCAACTCTCCTGACTCTCGGGGGGCGACTGAGGAACCCCACTTGTGGAGCGCCCCTCCCCCAATTGCTCTGCTGATCTGCCCAAAGAAGCTCCTCAGATCAGAATGAAAAATACCCTCCTTTGTAAAGTGGCTTGAAAGGCATGAGATTCCCAACAAGAATAATAGAGTTGGCAGGGACCTTGGACGTCTTCTAGTCCAACCTGCTGCTCAGGCAGGAAGCCCTATACCAGCGGTTCCCAACCTTTTGGGCTCCAGGGACTAGTTCCGTAGAGAGAGGTTTTTCCATGGACTGGAAGATGCATGGTTTCATATGTGCTGCCTGCATCCTGTAAATGGGGTTCATTTCTTTGCACAGCTGGTTTCTGGCATGCCCCGCAGACTCGGGGTTTGCAACCCCTGCCCTATACCATTTCAGACAAATGATTGTTCAATCTCCTCTTAAAATCTTCCGCTGTTGGAGCATCCTCAACTTCTGGAGACATGTCGTTCTACTGATTAATTGTTCTGTCACGAAATTTTTCTTTAGTTTTAGATTGCTTCTCTCCTTGATTCATTTCCATCCATTGCTTTTTGTCCTACCTTAAGGTGCTTTGGGGAATAGGTTGCCCCCCTCCCCTTCTTTGTAACAACCTCTTAGGCATACCCTTGGAAGTGAGTCTTCAAAAGACTGATGCTCCTTTGCATTATATTTTACATTGCAGGTTGGGAATAAGAAGCAACTTCATCCTCTGAAGGTTTTTCTTACACAAGAGACAAAAAGAATAGAGCAGCAAAGATGAATGAATGACACTTAAATTTCTCATCGGAGTTATTATGACATTCCAGTTCCGTGAACGAAAGAAGCTTTGAAGACTTTCACTCATTGGAGGGTGCAGTTGAGCTCAGAGGGAACATGAACCCAGGAAAACCGTCTTGGGAAGGACTGGCACTTTGTGATCCTCTTCAGGAGAGCAGTGCAATAGACCAAAAAAAGGCAGGACAGAGGATTCAGAGTGAAAAAACAATTACTTTCTGCGCAAAGAGACAACCCTTCAGGGAGCTCCGCTATCAGGAAGCTGAGGGTCCCCGAGGAATCTGCAGCCACCTCCACCATCTTTGCAATCAATGGCTGAACCCAGAAAAACATACAAAAGCCCAGATGCTGGATTTAGTAGTCCTGGAGCAGTTCCTGGCCATTCTGCCACTGGAGATGGAGAATTGGGTGCGGGAATGTGGAGCCGAGACCAGTCCCCAGGCAGTGGCTCTGGCTGAAGGCTTCCTCCTGAGTCAGACAGGGGAGAAAGAGCAAGGAGAGGTGCAGATCTAATTGTTTACAAGTGAGGGAATAATGCCAGTGTGAAATATTTGGGGCATTTTTATATTTCCATTCACAATTATTTTTGAAAGTGATTTGTTCTGTGTTTCTGTGTTCCCACATGTGGTACTTGTAACATCTTTCTTTGCTCTTCTCCACAGTTGCCGATAGAGATGTCCATTCAGAATTTGATGGCTGAGCATCCTAAGGCAAGAAGTGAGTAGTTAAATCCTTGTCAGAACAATTCAATTGGGGAAATTTCTCCAAAGGATCTGAATCGAGACATGTCACCAGGTAAGGGAAGGATCCCTTCTGCTACAGTGAAGTTCTTAAGAGCACTCAGAAGATTTTTATTCCTTATTTTTAAAAATTAGCTCATGGCCCTATGTGCTACAATAGCATTTATTTTTTGTTTTCCCCTGAATTTATAAAGCATTATTTTTAAAAGTATCTATTTCCTCCATCTTTAAGGGGCAGAGAACAGAGAACAGTTGGTGGTAAGAGAAACATCTCTTTCCAATGAAGCAAAAGCAAACGTTGGGTTTACAGCACAGGTAGGAGGAAAATTTCCTGTACCCCAAAAAGTGCAAATATGGTTAAGACAAGAAGCATCTGGGCTATCCCCCACCTACATTTCAACCTCTGTTCCAACATGAGATTCTTGCCACCTCAAGAGGTCCATGTGGCTTGTCCTTTTGTTATATCTTCAAAATATAAAATACAAATACAAAAAGAAAAAATAAAGGGAAAACAAGGGAGGAAAAATAAAACTTTTTGTTATAGAAATGGCTTATCTTTCTATCTTGTCTGTCTGTCTGTCTGTCTGTCTGTCTGTATTATCTATCTATCTATCTATCTATCTATCTATCTATCTATCTATCTATCTATCTATCTATCTATCTATCTATCTATCTATCNTATCTATCTATCTATCTATCTATCTATCTATCTATCTATCTATCTATCTATCTATCTATCTATCTATCTATCTATCTATCATTTCTATAACAATAATTCTTTCTAATCAGCAAAATCTAAAATCAAAGTTTTATCCCCCCCCCCAAAAACCCACAACAATCCAAAAGTGGTTTCCAAGTAGAAACAAAATGAATGTTGTTCTTTTCTTTAATTAAATAAGACAATTTAGTTATCTCTGCTAATTCCATCAACTTTTGTTGCCATTTGTCCATTGTGAGGCTCTATCCTTTTTTTGATCAGCTCCCTTCCAATGAAAAGATAGAGCTGGAGCAGCTCTGAGGGATGGAAGGCTGGAACTGATTCTTTCAGAACAAGTCTATGATTTGGGCCTTCACGAGCACTGAATCCTGACAGATGCAATAAAGTTAATCAGCCTTTCAGACTCTGATGGTGTCAAGAGAGGATGGAGAAAGAAACCTTTCCTTTTACTCTCTCAAATTCTGAAAACAGACAGGAAAAGCTTTATGAATGTCACTGCTTCATGGTTCTCGTGAGAGAATTTGATTTTCCCTGGCTTTTCTATTAGTAAGAAACTTTTGCTTCTCTTTCAGGGTTCCGTATCCTTTGAGGAGTTGTCAATTTACTTCACCGAGGAGGAGTGGGGTTTGCTAGATTGTGATCAGAAAGCTCTGCATGGAGAGGTCATGCTGGAGATGTCTAAGAATGTGGCTTCTCTGGGTAAATAATCGCTCTTTGTAATTTGTCCAAATATATGTAGTCTTTGACTTTTAAAAAATCATTTAGTGGCTGTTCGAAGTTATAATGGCATTCAAAAAGGTGACTTATGACAGTTTTTCACACTTAAGACCATTGCAGGGTTCCCACATTCATGTGATCAAAATTCAGATGCTTGACAACTGATTCATATTTATGACTGTTGCAGTGTCCTGGGGTCCTGTGATTACCTTATGTAACCTGACAAGCAAAATCAATGGGAAAACCAAATTCATTTAACTATGTTGCTAACTTAACAACTGCAGTTATTCCCTCAACAACTATGACAAGAAAGATAGTAAAATGGGGCAGAACTCACTTAACAAATGTCTCACTTAGCAACAGAAATTTTGGACTCATTTGTGGTCGTGTTGAGGAGTACCTATAGTTGGATATGGCAACTAATTAGAAGGAATATATTTTGTTTCTTCCATGTTATTTCCTAACCAATAAATTATCTTGGCTATTATATTCTTGAAAATGGAAGTTTAGATAATATATATCAAACTGGTAACTGTATGAATCATTGACAGTCAAAACACAAATATCACATCTACATCAACAGATGCCTGCTGGCAGTTAGGAAAGGGATCCTGGCAGTTTACTCCCAAAAAATAAATACCAATCTACTCTGAGGATCGTGAACAAAAATTAAAAACCATGTTTGAAACTACATAGAATTTTTTTTAAAAAGTCAATAGTAAATGGCTCGTACAGAACTGTGTCATCTTGACTGTGTGTAAAATCATGTATTTTGATTTGAAAAACTGAACAATATCATAAAGCTGGATTGGAGCCAGAAAGAGACCAAATTTATTGAAGAATAGAGAAGTTGCTCTTTTGGAAAGATGATAGTGATTTGAATTATTTAACTTGGAGCAAAGTTGGTCAGGGGACATATGTCATAAAATCACACATTGCATAGAACCAGTGAATAAAGAAAATAGTTTCTTGTTCACTAACAATATTATGAATATCTCCATTAAAATGAAATGTGAGATACTTAGGAAAATACAGATAGCATAGTTGGAAAGGACCCCCTGCTCTGGCAAGAGACCCCATACCATTTCAGAAAATGGTTGTCCTATCTCTTCTTAAAAATCTTCATTATTGGAGCACCCACAACTTTTGGAGGCAAGTCATCGCACCAATTAATTAATTCTCACTGTCAGGAAATTTCTCCTTAATTTTAAGTTGTTTTTCTCCTTGATTAATTTCTGTCCATTGTTTCTTTTTTAGATATATATAGTTTTTTTTATTTTTTCATTTTCATAACATATAACCACATGTATACTATTACATAGCATACATCATATTGTATTATTAAATGTTTATATCAATTCATCTTACCATCACCTCCCAAAAACAATTATTGGCTCTTCTGCTCTCCATATACCATATTTGTACCTTATCCATCACTTTCTTCTCCCTCCTCCCCCTCCCTACCTCCTTTCTTCCCTCTGTCACCCTTCCCTTCTCTACTTCCCCTTGCTCTCTCCTTCTCCTCTCTCCCCTTTTCACTCCTCGTTTCTCTCTTCCTCTTCCCCCCCTCTCTCCTATCCCTCTCTTCTTTCCTTACCTCTTTCCTTTACTTCACAATTTTCATCTCATTTACTTGGTGTATTTCAGCTCTGAGCAAGCTCCATTTTATGTTGATGGCATTTATAATTCCTTTTCAGTATACATATTTAATTTTAACATATATCTTCCTTCTTTTTTAAAAAGAGAGAACAGAAAGGTATACATATAATAGCAATAATATAGCAATAACAGTAGACTTATATACCGCTTCATAGGCCTTTCAGGCCTCTCTAAGCGGTTTACAGAGTCAGCATATTGCCCCCAACAACAATCCGGGTCCTCATTTTACCCACCTCGGAAGGATGGAAGGCTGAGTCAACCCTGAGCCGGTGAGATTTGAACCGCTGAACTGCTGATCTAGCAGTCAGCCTGCAGTGCTGCATTTAACCACTGCGCCACCTTGGATCATGGCATATATAGTCATTATACTTTTAACACACATACACCCGCCTAATTTTGGCCGAGATGTAGACCTGGTTACAATTCCCAGCTATTCTCATCATTATGTTTATATAATTATACATTATACATCCTTACGGGCCCCCACTTTGTAATTCTGTCTTTAAATCTCAATAGTTTCCCATTATAAATATATATCTTGGTTTAGATTACCCTTAATTGTCTATAAATGGCAATCCTTACTGTTCAATGTTCATTACAATTCCCTTAATCTACAATATAGAATAATAAGCAGTACACATCTAACTTTGTTCATAATCTAAAACGTTCTATATATGTCCATGTTTCATATATTTTAACCCATGCTGAATTGTCCTTATGATTGAATTGTCATATTCAATCAATTAGCAACTCAGTTTAATTATCATGTATAAAAGTGAATCACAAACCTCTGCTTTACAGTCTCCCCATATCAGTTTTATATTTGTCCATATTCCATATGTTTTAATCCTTATTTAATTATATTTCCATTATCATATTCAGTCAGTTAGCAACTCCATTTTATTGTCATGTTTAAGAATTATAACTGTGGGTTAATAGATCTTACCAGGCTCTCATCTCGCCTCTGCACACTCCTGTTGAGCTGCTTTGGCCTGGAGCCAGCTTCTTGTGCAGCCATGTTGCCATGCTGCTTCCCTGGCTCCAATTCAGAGGGCAAATCTGTGACCTACAAGGGACCTATTGCACTCCCTCTGGGTCTGATAAGACTCTGCCCCTTCTCCACCCCCACCCCCTGACTGGGACGTTCTTTCTGGCAACCCTTCAAATACTGGAAAACTACTATCATATCTCCCATAGTCCTTTTAATTAAACTAGACGTACCACCTAGATGTAAACTAGAATAAAGGAATGGTTATAATAGATGGCTTAACTGGATTTCCCCCCACTGTTTCTTTCTCTCTCAAGCAGGCAGTAAACAGAAGAATGAGATTTATCAGGAATCAGAAGAGACACCAATACAGATTCTAAAAGTTGAAGTGGAAGAAGAGAATCAATGGCAACCAAAAAGTGAAGACGGAGTCCAGCTGAATGATCAAAGGGGGGAAAATCCTCCTTTATCTCTGAAAATCTATGATTTGCTGGCCCAAGAAAATCTTAATAGAGAAGGGATGGAACAGTATTCAGGCTGTGATGAAGTATTTGAAGAACAATCAATCTTCAGTAACCCATGTGGATGGAGACAGAAAGGGAACAGGTATAATCAGAACTGCACTCCTCATTGGAGAGATGAGATGGGGGGAAAAACTTTTGAATGTAAGGACTATGAAAACAAATTGAATTACTCCAGTAACCTTATTTCTCATCCAAGGAAACACACGGGTGAGAATCCATATAAATGTATAGTGTGTGGAAAGAGCTTCACAAGGAACGATAAACTTACCACCCATATAAGAATTCATACAGGGGAAAAACCATATAAATGCACAGAGTGTGGAAAGAGCTTCACGAGGAACGACATACTTATTTCCCATAAAAGGATCCACACGAAAGAGAAACCATACAAATGCATGGAATGTGGAAAGAGTTACAGTCACTCCAAAAGCCTTATATCTCATGAAATTATACACAAAGGGGAAAAACCATATAAATGCATGGAATGTGGAAAGAGTTTTAGCCAGTGCAGTAGCCTTATCTATCATAAAAGGATCCACACAGGGGAGAAGCCGTACCAGTGTATGGAGTGTGGAAAAAGTTTCACAAGGAATGATACATTGATTTCCCATAGACGAATTCACACAGGGGAGAAGCCATTTAAATGCTTAGAATGTGGAAAGAGCTACAGTCACTCCAGAAGCCTTATTTCTCATGAAACAATCCACAAAAGGGAGAAACCCTATCAGTGCTTGGAATGTGGAAAGAGCTTCAGCCGATGCAATAGCCTTACCTCTCACAAAAGGATCCACACAGGAGAGAAACCGTATAAATGCATGGAATGTGGAAAAAGCTTCAATCACTCCAGTAACCTTAGAACCCACAAAAGTATTCACAGAGGAGAAAAACCACATAAATGCCTGGAGTGTGGAAAGAGCTTCACAAGGAGCACAGATCTTACCTCCCATAAAAGGATCCACACGGGAGAGAAACCCTATAAGTGTATGGAATGTGGAAAGAGCTTCACTCATTCCAATACCCTTACTTCTCATAAAACCATCCACACTGGGGAGAAGTCATATAAATGTACCGAGTGTGGAAAGAGCTTCAGTACAAACAGTTCTTTAACATCCCACAAAAGGATCCATACAGGGGAGAAACCATATAAATGCATGGACTGTGGAAAGAGTTTCAGAACAAGCAGTTATCTTACTTACCACAAAAGAATTCACACGGGGGAAAAACCCTACCAATGCCTAGAGTGTGGGAAAAGGTTTAATCATCCCAGCACCCTTGCTTCCCATAAAACAATCCACACAAGGGAGAAACAATATAAATGCCTAGAATGTGGAATGTGTTTTACACAGAGTTGTCACCTTACTTCCCACAAGAGAGCCACAATGGGATTTAACTATATAAATGCTTAAAATGGGGTGAGACCTTTCATCTTCGTCACTTGCATGGAAAAAACAAGTGCTTCAATGAGAATATTCTTGTTACTTGATCTTAAAGATAGATGACCACATAAGTTAGAAAGAGAAATATTCCTCCCCTGAGGTTACAGATAGTCCTTGACTTACAATGGTTCATTTAATAACCGTATGAAGTTACAATGGTACTGAATAGGGGGATTTATGTCCGTTTTTCAGATCACTGTTGCAGCATCCCCATGGTCATTTGGATGCTTGGCAGCTAGTTGATACTTATGATGGTTATGATGATACTTATGATACTTATGATGGTTGCAGTGACCGAAGATCACATGATCAGCTTTTGCAAACTTTTGACAAGCCGTCAATAGGGAAGCCATGTTCATTTAACAACCATGTTACTAGCTTAACAACTGGAATGATTCATTTAAACTCTGCCAAAAAAAGTTTTAAAATGGAGCAGAACTTTGCTTAATAATTGTCTCACTTAGCAATATAAATGTTGGTCGTAAGTTGAAAACTACATGTATATGGTCCTTGATGATAAGCAGTATTCAACCATTCAGACTCTAGGTCCGGGGTTGGGGGAAATCTACATTTGAATTTCTTTCTCTTATCAATGTAAGTCTACACTATATATTTATTCTCTTGTATTTTTAATAATTTTCCTTGCAATGTTAGGGCTGATGATCAACCCTATCAGAGGCCTTGGGAGCTATACCCAGATTTCCCAAGTGTCCACTAAGGTGGTAATTATGCAGTTTGAGCTTTCTTTTTTTATATATATAAATTTTTTTTATTACATAGACAACACATACACACAACAATAAAACAAAAACAAACAAACAAACAAAAAACCATCACATACAGCATGTCATTTGGTTACAGGTGTTTTAACATCCATATTCTCAAATAACATTTACCATCTCACATTTTTCATCTAGTATAACTAAATACCTCACTTTCATTGTACAGTATATGTTCANACTAAATACCTCACTTTCATTGTACAGTATATGTTCAGTTACAATTAGTATTATTTTTTTCCAGTAAATCATGATTCCCTTACATTCTTGATTATCTATTTGATAACAGTATACCTTTATATAACCCCATGTAGTAGAAAAAAATTTTTTTTACCAACCATTTATATTTGTATATCACTGTTTTCAATTATGCATAATTCCACCAATCGACTAGCAGTTTGAGCTTTCTGATGATAGAATTGACCCTGCTTTGACTTCATTTCCCCCCAAAGCAAAGTATAAAGTGCCAGAGAAAGGCAGAAATAATATTTTTCTTCAGTGTTTCATAAAAATAATTTTAGGAATGACTAATTTGCTTGTAAAGGGGTGAATGGCTCAGCAGTTAAAGATGCTGAGCTTGTTAGCTGGAGGGCTGACAGCCTGTATTTGAGACCCGAAGTCAGGATTCCGACAGATGCCCTAATAAAAGCAGAAGCCTCAAGCCAATATTCAAGAAAAAAATGTTTATTAGGAGTGCCAAGGCCATACAGACCTAGTGAAGCCAGCTCTGACCCCATTCAGTTTGCGCCTTGCCTCTGATTCTGTTTCCCCCTCCCCCCAAAGTATGTCACCAATCACATTCCCCAAGGAAGCAATTTTGCAGGTTGTAGAAGTCACTCCCTCGGGCTGTTACTGGTTTCTGTGGAAATGGCCTTAACTTTGGCCGACTAGGATGTGTGTTGTTTTGACTGAGGTGCAAATTTCTTGGTGCAGCTGTGAGGCTCAATTCCCCATCCACTTGCGTATGGCAACTCGGGAGCAGGTTAGGGAAGCTTTACAAGTTGACACCGAACACCGCACAGTGGGGTGAGCTCCTTGGCCCAGCTACTGCTCATCTAGAAGTTTGAAACCGTGCAAATGTGAATATATTATTGGTACCACTTAAGTGGGAAGCTAATAGTGTTCTATGTACTTTGGTGTATAATCATGCTGGGCCCATTACAACAGAAATTTCTTCAGACAATGCTGGCTCCTTTGGCTAGAAAACAGATGAGCACCTCCCCTTATAGTTGGACATGACTGAAAGGGAAACCATTTACCTTTAATATGCTGTATTAGAAGCGAAAGAATGTGATCTCTAAACAAAAGTGATCAACCTATAAGCTTACCTCAAAATTGTAGAAGAAATTAAAGTTTCCAAAGAGTCAATTTAGATGTTTATGCTGATTAAAGGTAATAAATTTGAGAATGCTTGATGAATGTTCATAAGGTTGCCTTTTTAAACGTAATGATGATGATTAATATGCTTAGGATTCACATAGAAGTGAATGGGAATGGAGAAATCTTCCAAATGCAGTGATTTTATACAAAACATACTATTTAAAAATAAAGTATAGAAAGATGCAGAGTTCAAATCTTACTCCATGATAGAAATTAAGAGGCAGGATCCAAAAATGCATTGAATGAATGAAAAGTTGCAGCAATACCAGAATTCCTTAATATGCATGAAATCTCAAAGTCTTTAGAGATTTCTACAATACAATTTGATTGAATATGGTGTCTAAATTGCAATTGGCACTGAAGAAAGTTGCCTGATTATTAAATTGATCAATTAATGTACCATCAAGTCAGTGTTGACTCTTAATAATCACGTAGATAGATTTTTCTCCATGATGATCTGCCCCAACTTTGTTTTTTAGATCTTCCCTAATTAAATGGGACCACCTAATACCGATCCTAAAACTACCAGATTTAATTAAGTTGAATTATCTAATTTTTTTACTGGATTTTGGAGTCAAGTCCCAAAGAGAGGCAGTTGTCAATATCATTCAGCATCTGCAGGAAATTCAGCAGGTTGGTTGGATGCTTATGTAGTGTCTTCTGAAAAAAGTGCATCTTATTTTTGGATTATAAAAGATAATTAGATATTTATCCAGACATTTGTAAAATAATAAGTTCCTCCAGGATTGGCCTCTCTCATTTTTCTTCTTCAGTAGGTCCCTGAATAAAGTTGAAACTGGTCTTTTTTTTAGTATCAATAAATGAATGACATTCTTGAAGCATTAGTTTCAAGCTGATTTTGGTAAGATAAACAAATTGGTTGAAAATAATAGAATGAGTCCATGCAAAGGTCTTCATTTAAGAAAAAGAAGGTGAACATACAGATATAAAATTGGGGTATTTGGTTTAGTAATAATAATTTTGGGGCATTTTAATATGCAGCCTCAGCTCTCTAGACATAGGTTTGCTATTTTCTTTGAGTTCATTATGCAGTATCTGTAAACAATTTAATCTGTTTATAATATCTGTAATTACTGAATGTGTAACATAAAATATTCAAGTTTTTCCTGGTGGTCTGATTTGATTTTGTTTTATCTAGTGCTGCTGTTTTTGGCTCCAAGTCTAAAAAGACTTCTAAGTCGACAGACAAAGAGACTACCCCTCAGACCAAGACCGGGCCTCATCACCATTCCTCCACTTCCAAATCAGGCCGCAGCCCTCCTTTGCAGTTGGATCCTGGGCCTGGCCCATTTAGCCCAATGCTGTCTATTAATACTTCAGGGCTCTAGGGGCAATCTGTACCACCAGCCCCTATGGTGCCCTATGGAGCCTCGCCTACCTGGCAGACATGTGGCCACATTTACGCCCACGGCTGCCGGCCTCCGCCCTGAGTACCCGACCCCCACCACTGGACTACCAGTCCTTCATTGCAGAGGCCATTAAACATGGGATTGCATCTGGGTTGCAGCAATGACGAGTGCTGCCGACACCATCACTCACTGCCCCGGTTCGGGCCCACAGAGATCTCGTGCCCAATCAGTCACCTCAGTGCCCACATCGCAGTCGATCCCTGGCCTCAGAGGAAGGGGGGATCAGGGAAGTCGAACTGTCTGAGGAAGAGGGGGCAAGCCCAGACAAGCCAGTTGCCTTGGGCCTCTTTCCACTGGCCCTGTTCAAACCTCTGCTTTCCAAGGCAATCACTGCAGCCAATATGGGGGGACAGGTAGAGACTCCCTCAACCTCTGGAGCCACCAAGTCAGTACATGGTTTACGGAGCATAAATTGGAGACGGACACCATCCCTGCTCCCCAGTTGTTTAGGGACACAATCCAGAGGCAATGGGCTGTACCAACATCAGGCCCGGCCCTGTCCAGCTCGGACAGGTGCTTTTATAATATGGCAGAGGGCCTTGACAAACTGTTGCTATGATCGACGGTAGATGCCCCAATTTCAGCCCTTCACTCTAACACTATGTTACCCGGGTCCCAGGAGGAGGTCCTAAAACCTGAGGAGAAGAAGGCTGACCAAACTCTCCATCGGGGCCACCAAGCGGCCGCTTGGGTGGTCCGGGCTTCAGCAGCAACTTCCTTTTTCTCTCACTGTAGCCTGTGTTCATTGCAGCATGACATCTTGGTATTGTCACGCTCTAGGGATAAGGCCATGAAGGACCTCAACACCACTATTCAAGTCCTCCAATCCCATGGTTTTTCCATCAACAGGAACAAGAGTCACTTTGTACCTACCACTCGCATTTTGCACCTGGGGGCTTGGATTGACACAGAGGCATCCCAGGTGTTCCCCTCTGAGGAGAGACAGAACAGTCTGCCAATTAGTGTCTCAGGTGGAGAGGGAATGGAAGGTTTCACTGGCTACTTTGTTTAAATTACTGGGGAAGATGGTTTCGGCCATCTCAATTGTCCCTTGGGCCAGACTACACACCAAGGAATTGCAATGGCTCCTACTGCCCTTCCAAAGGGAACAGAGGAGCACTTCCCTGGCTAGGGTTACCTTGCCTAGCGAGGTACGTCATTCCTTGCATTGGTGAAGATCTCCTGCGATCAAAAGAGGGTGTCATTTTGGGGTGGAGGACAGGATCACAATCACAACTGATGTGAGTCTCCGAGGTTGGGGCACCCACCTTGATGGACATTTTGCACAGGGCAAGTGGTCAGAGGAGGAAGGTACCTTGAGTATTAACCTCGAGCTTAGAGCCATCCATCTTGCCCTCCTCCACTTCATAGACTTGATCAAGGGGACCCAGGTACTAATTCTGACAGATAACATTATGGCCAAGGCCCATATGAACAGGCAGGGGGGCACCAGGGTGAGAAAACTAATGGGGGAGGCGGAAGAGCTGGGTTGCTGGGCGGAGGTTAACCGCCTTTCATTATGGCACACCTACACCATTCCCCCACATCCAAGTAGGATTCAACTATTAGAAAAATTTACTTGGTCTGATTTTGAGCCAGATAACAAATAAACTAATAACAATAAACACAAATGGGCAGCTTCTATAAGTAGAATTTATTCATTCAATCATATACAATGCTTGAAGGTAGTCTACATCATTAGGGATCCATGAGTAGATATGTATACAAGTAAACTTTGTTTAGATATGCAGATTGAGGTGCTCTTGCCTTGGGCATTGATCCTGAGATGCATGTTGGATGTGTTTATTACGATGTTGCCCTGAGGTCATGTAAAATTCGGAAAGGAAATCCTCCCTAGGTGTGGATTATTATGAGGGGATCTGGCATTTTCCCCTATCTTGAGGGGATTCTTTGATGGAGCTAGTGAGGTGCAAGTCTAGGGGTTAGGATTGTGTATTTATTCTGAGGTTCCAACAGTTCAGAGAACTTCTAAAGAGGAATGAGAGGAAATCAAAGGTTTTCCTATGTTCTTTTCTATATAAATTCTAACTGTATCTTATCCATCAAGCTGCTAGTCTACCCAACAACCAGAATGCTTTATTTCCATTGGTTGAACACTTTCGTCTGGGCCAATCCTGGCTCTGCCTAAGAAGGAAAGGTTCTTTGGTATGATACCGTGGTAGTTTGCTGTGTTTCTCCAGGGAATGCTGGGATTTTGGAAAGGGAGGGGGGAGCACAAGGCAGGGAATGAGTGTCCTCTGCCATGAGTCTCCAGTAAAAAGCATAATTGAAATGAGTAATGCAAGCAATGAGGAACAGTCATTGTAGACATACTTTTCATATACAGGTAGTTGACTTACAACAGTTTGCCAAGTGACTGTTTCAACTTACAACAGCAATGAAAAAACTTATGGCCATTTTTCACACTTAGGAGGTTGCAGCATCCCCATACTCATGTGATGTATACTCAGATGCTTGACAACTATCTCACATTTATGATGGTTGCAATGTCCCGGGGTCATGTAATCACATTTTGCAACCTTCTGACAAGCAAAGTCAATGGGGAAACCAGATTCACTTAACAGCCATATTTCTAATTTAACAACTGCAGTGATTCACTTAACAAACGTGGGAAGGAGAGTCGTGAAATGGGGCAAAGCTCACTTAACAAATTTCTCACTTTGCAACGTACGTTTTGGGGTCAACTGCAGTTGTATATTGAGGGTGACCTGTACTTTTCTTTGTATGCAATTAAGTCACTGCAGTGTTGGAAGATTTTTCTATATCCTATGCATTTATGAATCCTCCTCCTAAACTACCTAAAGGTAGTTCTCGCTTAATGACTGGTTGTTTTAAAAGTCTTCAAAGTTTTGACAGCCAAGAATGGGTTCCTCACAGCCCATAAAGCACCCTCGGCTATTGTAAATTGTCATGCTATCCTCCCCTAACTGCATGAATGGGTTTGCTTAATGACAGCTGCTCACTTAACTGCAGTGAAAAAGGCTGTGAAAATTACTTCCAGTTATGTGAGTCCCTCAACTTACAACTACAATTCTGGCTGTAAGTTAAGGACCATTTGTAATTAATCATAATCAGTATGTTTAAAAAGGTAACATTATGAACATTCACCAAACATTATAATTTTTCCTATCTTTAATCTGCATAAACGAATTGGCTACACAGGGCCTCTGCACATTTTAAATTTTCTATCATTTTGAGATAAGTTCATAGACCAACCAATTTTTTACAGAGGAAACCCATTGTTTGGCTTCAAAGGCAAGCAAATTGCAAGCCATATATGGAAATAATGATTCCTAAATCTAATTTTAGGAAACATGGAGGAATTTTTTTTATGAGAATGATTTAAAGTATACGAATGAATTTATTAAAGAATATTCTACGACTGAGTTTGAAATACAGATGTGCACAAATGATAAATATGTAGTTGCTAAAATGTATAAACTTTTATTGAAATTGGAAATGGAAGAACAAGTGAGAAAACATGATAAAGTAGGTTATAAATATTGGTATATAGATGAAACAAGGGGGAAATATGGTTCAAGTGATTGAAATTTACATTATAATATTAATATTTTTATAATGTATCATTGGTATGTCACCAGAAATTATCTAGAGTGTACAAAGGGACTTCATTATGTTGAAAATCTGAATAGCAAAGGAAGAACATTTTATCCATCTTTGGTGGACGCGTATGAAATCTAGAAAATTTTGGATCCAAATACATATACTAATTCACAAGTTTTTAATAATTTTACAATATACAACTGAAACCCCAGGTCTTCATTATGAATGATCTACAAAGAGTTGGAAAAAGTCATGGAATTTTACTTTTTGTACATGGTAACTGCAGCAGGACTATTATATATGCAAAGATGGAAAGTTTCAGGATTACTTACAATGGAAGAATGGTTGATGAAAATGATGGAACTTCTAAGATGACCAAGTTGACTTCTTTAATCAGAGAAAGGCAATTATCTGTATACTACAAAAACTCTCGTGTCCATAACTTGCAACTGGTCAAAATGGTGCATTGCAGGACAAAACGTTTTAAACCAAGGTTCCCCAAATGAGCTAATTTACAAAATACATCCAAAATCCAGGTCTCTGTGGGATTGAAATTTAGAAAACTTGTGGTTGCATTGGTGCTGCCCCTTTGCCATCTAGAAATTTAATCCTCTCATACCAGATGAACTGGTCCCACCATTGGTTGCTGGGGGGTAGTCAGATGCAGTCAAGCTAGCAGGAAGTTGCAAATCACATGCACTGCTTTTTTGCCCTTTGCCATTCAGTTTCTCAGTTTGGGTAAGAAAATGTCTCTGAAATTATGACACAACCAATAACAGTCTTTAAAAAAAGGTAAACGTTTCCCTGTCCAGTCGTGTCCAACTCTAGGACGAGATGCTAATCTGTTTCTTGGCCAAGAAAATCAGTGTTATCCGAACACATTTTCTGTGGTCATGTGGCCAGCATTATTATATGCCAAAAATGCATGGATTGCTGTTACCTTCCCACCAAAGAGGTACCTACTAATCTACTCACATTTGTGTGATTTCAAACTACTAGGTGGGCAGGAGCTGGGACAATCAATGGGAGCTCATTGAACTCTGTTTGTCAAATTTTCTACCTGACAGGCTCAGTGTCTTTAACCGCTGAGCTCACACACATTTTAAGTCTAATATACTACTAAAACTCTCATGTCTGATAACTCTGTAACCTTCAACCGGGTGAAATGCTGCATCACAGGGCAAAACTTTTGTCAACAAAGATCCCTCAAATGGGATAACGTACAGAATACCAGGATCCATTACTTCCAAGGAAATGAAATTTGGGGGGGAAATTGCCATTTTAGCACCATTGTGCTGCTGTTCAATGCTGCCTGTGATAAGATGATCTTCCTTTTTAATATTCCCTGACAGCTTTCCACAAGTCCACAGGGCGCTTGGAAGGAATGGATATGATAGTCGACACTCCTGGTTGCTTTTCCACTAGCAAAGTTTTTGGTTATCGGAAGCTTGCAGGGAGATCAATGGAAAAATGATGCAGTCTCCCTCAATTCCTCTGCACCAGAGTTGAATTCACTTACCTTCCCTACTCGTTCAGAAATGTGAGTGCACATGCTGCGTCTGTGCACAACCTTCTGTGCATGCGCAGTACTCATGCATTACGTCAGGGTGGGTGGGCGGAGCCTCCTGCAGCCACCACTACTGGTTCACCCGAACCAGAGAGAACCAGCTGCATACCACCTTTGCTCTGCACTTGCATTGCTGCTGGCCTCTCATACACTGCCTCACTCCTGTCCCCACCAGGCAGCATGCACTTACCAACATGATAGAAAGGAAGAATAGGCAGGAAAAAAGAGGAAGCTACTCCTTTGTATTTTTTTTTCATTTTTTTTTACTTCTGTTCTTGCACTTATAACTTTCTCTTTAATTTATTTTTTTTTTTTTTACTTTATATTAGTTTCTATTAGATTTGTATTTATGTTTAATAAAAATTTTCATAAAATTGTATGTATAAAATAATTGATACATTGCTTGGGGAGAAAAAAAAATTAAACCAGAATCAAACCCATCACCTGAGAGTTCATAGGGAGAGAAGGGCCCCACATGGGCCCTTGGAAAATTCGGAGGCAAGTCTCAAAGTCATTTGTAAGGTTGATCAACACCCTGCAACTCTTAACATGAAGAGAAAGCATTAAAAATACTAGGGAGAAAATGTAGAACCTATACTTAATATCCTGATGTTCATAGGTAAAGGTTCCCCTCGCACATATGTGCTAATCATTCCTGACTCTAGGCGGCGGTGCTCATCTCTGTTTCAAAGCCGAAGAGCCAGTGCTGTCCGAAGGTTCTCTGTGGTCATGTGCCCGGCATGACTAAATGCCAAAGACATACAGAACGCTGTTACCTTCCTATCAAAGGTGTTTCCTATTTTTCTACTTGCATTTTTACACTTTTGAACTGCTAGGTTGGCAGAAGCTGAGACAAGTAATGGGAGCTCACTCCGTTATGCGACGCTAAGGATTTGAACTGCCAAACCGCTGACCTTTCTAATCGACAAGCTCAGCGTCTTAGCCACTGAGCCACCGTGTCCCTCTGATGTTCATACTGCTTGAAAATGAAATTTTGATTTCCTTCTGAGCCCAACCAGTTTTTGAAAGATAGGATATTACTCATCCTCAAAAGCCAGGTGTGATCACAAATAAATTAGTAGTGAATTGGGGTATGCAAATACCTCCCTTTCAGGTCAAACACTCCAATAATTTTTTCCATGCATTTTCCTTCATGGGTGATCAGATCAGACCCCAAAATGAACGATCTTAGCGCATTTATTAGTTAATCTTCACTGTGGATTTTTTGATGGGAAATAAGGTGAGAACTTTGAGTGAAACCCTTTCCACATGCTAGGCACTTATATTTCCGCTGCCCTGTGTGGATTCTTTTATGGGAAGCAAGATTGCTGGAGTGGTTGAAACTCTTTCCACACTCTACACAGTGATAAGGTTTCTCTCCTGTGTGGATCCTTTTGTGGGAAGTGAGCGTGCTAGGGTGACTGAAACTCTTTCCACAGTCTGTGCATTGATAGGGTTTCTCTCCTGTGTGGGTCCTTTTGTGGGAAGTGAGGGTGCTAGGATGATTGAAGCTCTTCCCACAGTCCATGCACTGATAGGGCTTCTCCCCTGTATGGACTGCTTTATGGAAAGCAAAGGTGCTAGAAAGATTGAAGCTCTTTCCACAGTCTGGGCATTGATAGGGTTTTTCCCCCGTGTGAATTCTTTTATGGGAAGTAAGATAACTGCTAGTCCTGAAGCTACTTCCACATTCTATGCATTTATATGGCTTCTCGCCTGTATGGATCCTTTGATGGGATGTAAGACTACTGCTTATTCTAAAGGTCTTTCCACACTCCATACATTTATATGGCTTCTCGCCTGTATGGATCCTTTGATGGGATGTAAGACTACTGCTTATTCTAAAGGTCTTTCCACACTCCATACATTTATATGGCTTCTCGCCTGTGTGTATCCTTTTGTGGGAAGTTAGGGAACTGTTTGTCCTGAAGCTCTTCCCGCATTCCATACATTTATATGATTTCTCTCCTGTGTGGATGGTTTTATGGGAAGTAAGGGTATTGTAGTGAGTGAAGCTCTTTCTGCACTCCTTGCACTCATGTGGTTTCTCTCCTGTGTGGATCCTTTTATGGGAAGTAAGATCTGTGCTCCTTATAAAGCTCTTTCCACAATCCATGCATTTATGTGGTTTTTCCTTTTTGTGGATACTCTTATGGGTACTCAGATTACTAGAGTGGCTGTAGCTCTTCCCACACTCTGTGCATTTATAGGGTTTCTCCCCTGTGTGGATCCTTTTATGGGCTGTAAGATCTGTACTCTTTGTGAATTTCTTTCCACACTCAGAGCATTCATACGGTTTCTCCCCTGTGTGGATTCTGATATGATTGACAAGTTTGTCATTTCTTGTGAAGCTCTTTTCACATTCTGTGCATTTATATGGCTTCTCCCCTGTGTGAACTCTAATGTGGGCAATAAGTTTATCGTTCCTTGTGAAGCACTTTCCGCACAATGTGCATTTGTATGGTTTCTCCCCTGTATGATTTTTTAAATGGGTGATAAGTGTGTCATTCCTTGCAAAGCTCCTTCCATGAACAGTACACTTGTATGGATTCTCTTCGATGGGATTCATTTTATGGGAAATAGGTTTGTGGAGGTAGTTGAAGTTGCTTTCATAATCCTTACATTCTAATGTCTTTTTCTCCATCTCATCCGCCCAATAAGATGGGGAATTCTGATCATACCGATTCCTTTCCTGTGTCCATTCAAATGGGTGAGTGAAGTTAGATTGTTCTTCAAATATTTTATTGAAGTCTAAATACTGCCCCATTCTCTCTCTATTAAGATCTTCTTGGGTCAGCAAATCATAGATTTCCAGACATAAAGGAGGATTTATTTCCTGTGGATCATTTAATTGGATTCCATCTTCACTTTTTGGTTGCCAATGATTTTGGAAGGTTTCTTCTCCCACTTTAACCTTAAAAATCTGTAAAGGTGTGTCTTCTGGTTCCTGGTAAATCTCATTCTTCTGCTCATTGCCTGATTGTGAGAGAGAGAAAAACAGTGGGGAAAAATCATTCCTTCTCCTCATAAAGAAGACTCATGAAAATATCAAGAACAACTGAAAAATCAAACAACACAACCATATTCAAATTATCCTACTTCAGACATATGCAAAGGCCTGGGTCTCTGGAGAAGGGTCTAATGCTGAAAAGTTCAATGGTCAGTCTTCTTTGCATGAAGAAAAGTACAACCATAATAAAGTGGATGGATTTACTTACAGTGGCAATGAACGTACTGCTGTGAGCCATGGTAGCACAATGGTTAGAAGGAGTACTTCAGGCTACTTTTGCTGACTGCCGACTGCCTGCAATTTCGATCCTGACCTGCTTGAGGTTGACTCATTCTTCCACCCTTCCAAGGTTGGTAAAATGAGGACCCAGATTGTTGGGGGCAATATGGTGACTCTTTCAACTGCTTAGAGAGGGCTGTAAAGCAGTGTGAAGTGGTATATAAGTCTAAGTGCTATTGCTATTGGTGCAAGACCTCAAAACCCAGACCATCATGGAGAAAATCTGTCTTCTCAGTTAATCAATCAATCAATCAATCAATCTGACATTTACATTTAATGGAGGAATCCTGAGTTCTAATACTCTGAGTGAGCACAACATTTCTAAAAAAATTATATGTTCTATGCAGTGCATCATTTTGTATCCCCCATCATGAATCCCTGGATGCATGTTTGCTCCAAATTAAAGAATCAAAATCACTATCAACTTCAGCTCTTCACAAGGTGCCTGCCGGAATAAGAGGCCATTTTCTCTATGTCTTAGGAGGAAACACCCATGCACAACCTGGAGAAGGCAGCCTTATACAGCCAGCAGTTACTTTGCAAAGGACTATGGTGGCTGTGATTGGCTAGCAGTGGGAGCAAGAAGATGGCAAATGTAAGCTAAGAAGGCAGGAGCCACAGTGTACAAGGAGCCAAAAAGATATAAAGGGTGGGGGAAGATAACTGTGTGTGGGAACTTTCCTGTGGTTTTCCTGTGGTTATGGATTTCGATCACAGGATTGTGGGGGCAGAACAACAATCATAATTTCAGGGATTGGTTGAACGTACCTTTCTTCAGCACCATTGTAACTCTGAACAATTGCTGAACAAGTGGTTAAGTGTACCTTTACTCTCGAGTATGAGAGCATGTAGAGAAAAGGAATATATACCTGTGAAGCTTCTGTAAGACCTCCCTTCCTGAAAGCTACTGGCCAGCCTATGCAAAGCTAAATGCACTGCATAGTCAAAGGGTTGAACCAGTATGGAAGATACCTATGCTTGAAGGTCAATAAAGACCAAAACTACCACCTCCAACAAATCAGCACCAACTCAGAAAACTCAAACTGCCCAAAGAACTGCTGATTCAGTTCTACAGAGGAATTATTGAGTCTATCATCTGCACCTCCAAGACTGTGTTACTATTATTATTCTCTTCCTTCCTAGTATTTATCTCTTCTCACTTATGACTATAACCATGTTGCTTGTATCTTTCAATTTATATTGTTTTATTTGTTTACTAGTACGATTTGATAGCTTATTACTAACCTTGACTATCACTAAGTGTTGCATCTTTTTATTCTTGATGAATGTATTTTATTCTCCATATGTACACTGAGAGCATATGCACCAAAGAGAAATTCCTTGTGTGTCCAATCACATTTGGCCAATAAAGAATTCTATTCTATCAAATATTAACAGGTAGCACTTTGTAAAGGCTGCCTATTTGAAGCTCACTGTCTGAATTGTAGCTTGCAGATTCAAATGGCAAGCCTGGTTTCTCAGGTGCAGAATACCTTGGAAGGAACCATACAACAGATGGCTTCCAATTACAAAACACCCTATTTGGACAGAGGATTTCTTACACAGAGAAGCTACATTCCAGGAGGTCTCCAGCATGACTTCTCCATGCAAAGCTTTCTGTGTGGGATCAAGCAGGTCCCACTCCTCCTTGGTGAAGAAGACAAACAACTCCTTGAAGGATATGGGATCCTGAAAGAGGAAGGAAAAATTTCTTACTAATAGAAAAACCGAGGAAAGTAAAGTTTTCTAAAAAAAACAACCCTGAAGCAGTGAAATTCACAAATGTTTTCCTAGCTATCTCAAAGATGCTTTTTCAAGAGGTAACTGGACTTCCTTATTTTTCGTTAAAGATGTTTCGCTTCTCATCCAAGAAGCTTCTTCAGCTCTGATTGGATGGAGGGGAATGGAAGGAGTTATACTCCTTGCAGATACCTGGTCATTTGCATTCTTTTTAGAGTCACTGAGGCCACCTGGAGGTTTATCTGTGTCACCAGGTTCACCTGAGTAGTGCAAATGTGTGTGGTGCAAGGTTAGTATACTCTTACCTTTCCTACCGGTTCACAAATGTGACCACACATCTAAAGTTGTTTTGCTCACACATGCCACCTCTGTGTATGCACTTTTGGTGAAAAAAGGGCCTAAATGGGATATCATAGAGCCGAGCACAGTAGGGCGGAACCTCCTGCGATATCCGCTGCCGGTTTGGGCGATCTGGTCTGAATACCACCTCTGGCATTGAGCCTTCTTGGAAGTGCTGAAAGGTCTGTGTTGTAGCAACACAGATAAACCTCCAAGTGGCCCCAATGACTCTCCAAAAGGAACGCAAATGACCAGCTATCTGCAAGGAGTATAACTCCTTCCATTCCTCTCCATTCAATCAGAACTGAAGAAGTTTCTTGGATAAGAAGCGAAACATCTTCAAAGAAAAACAAGGAAGTTCAATTGCCTCTTGAAAAAGCACCTGTGGGACAACTATGACCGGGATGATTGAGAATCTCCAGAGATGTTTTCCTGACTGGTTTAGAATGTGAGAGATTATAGGGAACAATTTCATTCTCAATCATCTTTTGGCACCACCTTGGTCCCAAAGATTGATTAAATTCACTGCGTCTCTTAGGACTCAGTGCCCCTGAATGCCCAAATCACAAACTCATTCTTGAACCATCAGTTCCAACTCTGCCTTCCATCCTCCAGAGCTGCTTTAGCTCTATCCTTTTATTGGAAAATAGCTGACCAAGATAAGGACAAGCCAGGTGGACATCCAGAAGAGGAAAGGGTCCCACATTGGAAGAGAAATTGAATTTATTTTGGAAGTGGGAAGTAGACAGGTGGACTAAATAATTCTTGCTTTAATCATATTGACACTTTTTGGGGCACAGGAAATTTTCCTCCTACCTGCCCAACATTGGTTTCAGCTTCACCAGAAAGAGATGTTTCTCCTACCACCACCTGGTATATGACGCTGTTCTCTGCAACCAAAAGATGGAGGAAATTGTTTTTTTTTAAAAAAAAGAATGCTTTATAAATGCAGGTGTAAAATACAAACGAATACCACTGAAGCATACAGGGCCTTTCACTTTACAAACACAGGAGTGAAAAACCTTTGAGAAAGAACTTCATGGCATCAGAAGGAATCCTCCCTTACCTGGTGACAAGTCCCGATTTAGATCCTTTGTGGAGATTCCGCCAAGGAAATTGTTTTGACAAAGATTTACTGGATCCCCTTTTGCCTCAGGAACCTCAGTGATTAACCCCAGGAAGGACGCCTCCCCCTGCAACAGTGAAGAGCAGCAAAGAAGGGTGTGAAGTGCACATGGGAATGCAGAACAACCCTGTTTCAAAAGCATTTGGGCAGGGCCATGTGAAAATGCCCCAAAATATTTAAGACTGGAATAATTCTCCCCATCCACCCCCTTGAAACCAACCTGCATTTCTCCTTGGTGCTTCTCCTCTCCTTGGCTCAGAAGGAAGCCTTCAGCCAGGGCCACTGCCTGGGAACTGGTCTCGGGTTCGCATTCCCGCACCCAGTTCCCCATCTTGGGTGGCATGATGGACAGGAACTGCTCCAAGACCACCATGTCCAGCATCTGGGCTTTAGTGTGCTTTTCTGGGTTCAGCCATCGTTTGCAAAAGTGATGCAGGCGGCTGCAGAGTCCTCGGGGACCCTCAGAATCCTGGTAGCAGAACTCCCTGAAGGGTTGCCTGTTTGCACCAAAAATCACTGTTTCTTCATTTTGGACCTTCAATCCTGCCTTTTCTTGAATTATCACACTGCCTTCCATGTGAAGAGAACCACAAAGTGCCAGTCTTTCCCAAGCCGCTCTTCCTTGGTTCATTTTTCCTCTGGGCTCAACTATCATTCCCAAAGAGTGGAAATCTCTAAAGCTTCATTCATTAGCAGGTGTGCAATTTTATTCTTTTGTTCTCAGGACCGGAAATGTATAAAAATTGTACGGATGAATTTAACAAGGCCACTGATTCATCTTTACCATTCACCTCTTCTTGCCTCTGTAAAGGGAAGACTTTCAGAGGCACAAACTGCCTCATATTCCCAACCTACAATGCAAATAATGGAAAAGACCATCAGTGTATATTGTCCCAAAGGTGCTTCCCACCCACCCCCAAAAAAGGACTCTCTTTGTTTTTGCTTGAAAACGTTTTGCTTCTCATCATAAGAAGCTATTGAAGAATTGAAGAAGCTTCTTGGATGACAAGTAAAATGTCTTGAAGCAAAAACAAAGAAAGTCCAGTTGCCTTTTGAAAAAGCACTTTGGGAACAACCACAACTTGGATGACTGAGAATCTCCACAGACATCATTTGAAACTCCCTTCCAAGTAATTCCTTGTTGGAAATCTCCTGCCTTTCATGTCATCCCTTGAAGCCACTGCGAACATATAATATTCAAGAATGAGGGTATTTTTCAGATTGTTGGGGCTATTGGGAAGATCCAGCAAAGCAACTCCACCAGTTCAGTCATCTTCCTGCTTGGAGCAGCCTTGAGGCTCCGAAGTGGTGCTCCAAAGAGGCAGGAGAGCTGCAGTATTAGATAACTTTTATTGTCACTTTTTGTGTGTGAATAAACTGCCATACATTACACGGTGAAAAATTCTGATGCCCGCTCTCAAAAGACAATAAATATTATTTATTCCCCAAGCCCTGGTGCCCCTTCCCTGCCAGTACTGTTCCCCCCCACCCCGGCGCGCTGTGGATCCAGGAAAGGAGCTCCAATACTGTGATTAATGTGTATGTACCGTATTTATCGGCGTATAACACGCAGTTTTAAAACTAAAATTGCAAGCTTAAACCCTGC